CACAAGGGGAACAGTGGTCAGCTCTGACAACGGGAGTCTGAGATCTCAGATTTAGGGGAGACAGGGAGAGGACCCTGTCCATCTGGGGGAGGCCCCCCATCTGAGTGCTCCTCGCCACTTGCCCTTTGCTTCTCCTCACTCTGTCGTCCTCCCCTTCCTGCCCAAGTGGTCTGGGACTGAAAATCAGCCTGGGCAGCACCAGAAGAGCTTTGCAGATGAGATTAAAAGCAAATCAAAGAAGAAAAATTGTGGCTCGGTTTATGTCTTCCTAATTAAAACCCCGCCAGTCTCGCTTCTTTTTCTTTCCAGCTAATGTTACACTAACGAGCTGAGTTTAGTGGCATTTATGTAGATAAAAGTCCCAATGATTGATCTCAATGGCTTGTTAAAATTAGTTTCAGTCCACCGTATTGATTTAATTCCATTGCTTGAAAGTGCTAATTAATAATGATAATAAAAGTGTCTCGGCCCATTATTATCAGTGGGCAGGAGGGGGCGGAGTGGGGGGGAGAATTGCTGTTTTTAGTGTCACTTACTCTGTCTAAGGGTGGCCTTTGAGAGCTGGCGGAGGGGACAGGAGGCTGGGTGTGGGGGCAGCAAGGGGTGGTTCCGTCTCTCTCTGGTGTCTGGCAGGTTCCTCGTGGTGGTATTCCAGGCTGCAGGAAGGGGTGAGGGAAGGGTGGGTACGCAGGTCCCCGGGGAGCATTGAGCTGCTCGTCCTTTGCTTTCTCTGCCCCTCCAGAGGTGGGGGCGCTGCTTGCCTGAGTGCTTCTTGAAGGAGGTCAAGGGTTCAAACTTTAGACTGTTCTTGAGGGTGACGAAGCTGGAAGGCATCGGGTCAGGGGCTTGTCGTTTAGTTACCATTGAGCAGCAGAAGCTTGGGTCCAGGAACCTCTGTCACCCCAGATCCTGTGCTGCAGGACCCGGAGGAGGGGAAGGAGGGATCTGGCGGCAAGAAGGTCAACTGATGAAGAGTCCCATGGTGGGGGGAGGGAAGAAGGATTTTGGAGAGCAAAGACAGAAAGCGTCCAGGGAAAAGGGAGAGTTACAAGTGTCTTCCAAATTACTTAATTAATTTAATTTTAAAGAAGTCTTTCTGCCTGAGATAATGCCCTATGCCCCTGGAAAGCATTGTCCCAGCCACTCTGCAGAATAGGGTGTAGGGGTGAGGAGAGGGTGGTGCTGGGAATGAAAACAGCGCCTGAAGGAATGAACAGCTCTTCCGAGACAGTGGCAGAGGCTTTGAGGCAAGAAACACCTCCCCAGTGCTGGCAGGAAATGAGAGGAAGGGAGAATGGCCCCTGCCATTTGACTGCCCCTCCCCCTCCCAGCCTCCAATCCTCTGGGGTTCAACTGGAGACCACTTACCAGACCTCTCTCTCCCTCTCTCTCGCTCTCTCTCTCTCTCCACCCCCCTCCCTCTCTAACCACCCCACATCCCCATACACACACATCATGGAGAGGTCCAAGTTTCATTAACTATGCATGATTTGCATTCTGGAACAGGTGAAAGCTTGCTCTTCTTCCTCTGTTGAACTTTATGACCATCGGAGGTCCATGGATTGCACTCTGAGAAGCAGGAAGGGAGGGAAAGAGCTTTCGGGTCCCAGAGGGTGTGGGGGAGTAAGTGGGATGAGTGAGACATGCTGCCTCTAGAGGTGAGGGGCCAGGGACCCACAGAAACTGCCCATGCAGCCCACATGAGGCCCAAGACACCTGACGACCAAGAGGTCACCTTAATTTTGAGGCAGGTTCCGGATCAGCCAGTAGCTGCTCCTTTCCTGGGCTGGCCTGTGGGGTAGGAATACGTCTGTTTAAGACAGAAGTCTGTAGGAGATGCAGCTGCTGGTTCTGGCAATTCTGAGCATCAGAGTCTTGAATGTAATATCCAAAGATCCACCTGATATACGTATATTCCTGGAGACATTCTTTATTGAAGGACCTATGAAGCACCCTCCCTACCCGCAAAAAGATGAATTGAAAACTCAAACTACAGAATCAAGCTATATATGATTTTACTCTACAGTTAACTCAAGTATAATTATATGCAATAATTATACTGTGTAGTTCTGATATTAATTACAATCCATCCTCATTAAGGAATTAACGAAACCATGTGTGGCTGGGGGTAGGGAGGAGGAGATAGTTTTTATTATGCTTTACTCTCAATTTTCCCTCTTTTAGGTTATGCTATTCCCCTGACTCCTGTGCCCCAGTGGTTTGGGTTGGGATATTGTGTTTCTTGTATCAAGATCCTCATTACTAACCACAGAAAATCATCTGTCTCTGTTTATGTGATTCTTCCAGGTTCACTTAAGTAAAGAATCTTTACCAGCCATGCTCCTTAGGAAGGGTGCTTCCTCCAATATAATCAGCCAAATGCCAACTACTAGCTTTACTTTATATGGGATTTCTATTTGAATGATCCTAGCTTTCTGTTTCTCCCTGCCTCCTCCCGCCTGCTTCTCCCGTCTCCAGCACAGTGCCCTGCACAGTGATAGGGTGAAGGGGTTTGAGCTTGACTCATTTTGGGGGAAGAGTAACTTCCAGATTGAGTCCGAGCTTAGAATAGATTGCCTTTGGTAAAAAATATGGGGATCCATATGCTTCCTTGTAACACTGTTAAGCGCCCTCCCTGCTTCAACTCAGGAATATTACTGTTAACTATTTCATACACATGTTTGGATGGGGTAACAATCCTCACAGTTGGAATGTGGATCCTGGTTGGGAATCTTAAAAGTAATTCATCCATTTTGTTTTGTTTCGTTTTTAAGTAGAAGCCATTATTTATGTTTCCTAGGTCTGGAAATACCAATGGAATTTTGGAGAACATGACGCATTCTGTTACCCCTGGTACCCTACTATTCCTTTCTATATTCTTTTTTTTTTCTTTTTCTTTTTCCTTGTCCTCTTTCTTCCTCTGCACTCCTAGCCTACTCATCCTAGCTGTGGCTGACACATGAGAACTATCGGGTGGTCCGAGGGACCATGGGAGCGAAAGCAAGCAGTAGGGCTGGGGGAACCTTATTCGGGGCACTGTGTATGCGGTGGTGGGGAGGGTGTTTTCTCGTTAAGACTCCCGACATTAGGAATGGCCGACTCTACTCGTCCCTCGTGGCAGCAGCTGGTTCTCAAGGGGATTCAGTGATTTCCAGTGGTAAGTTTGGACTGGACAGTTAGGGGTTATCTAATCAGACGGATGGGACACAGAGCAAGATGTTCCAACTAAGAGTCAAGCTCGGAAGTCTGATGGCCTCAAGCCTGGAGATTAAGCATCCCTGACCATACTGAGTGGAGGACACAGTGGATGGTGCCTGGTCCTGGGGGTGGACGGTTGGAAAAACACCAGGGCCTCCTCATGGGGTGGAGGGACTGTTTAATCCTCAGTGGGTGTGTACATGTTCAAGGGGTGTGGTAGAGGGGGAGGGGTTGGGGAAGGGGTTGGCAACAGCCAGAGAGAATGATTTAAAAATATCATCTAATTGTTTATGAAGGTGGAAACTGAATTTGTCACCAGATCCATGGAGTAAATCCTGGGTGGGAAACTGGAGGCAAAGAAGGTGAGAGGCGTGGTTACTACAGAAGTAGAGTGGGAGGCAAGGAGCTGGCAGGGGGTGTGCGTGAGGCAGGATAGGCCAAGACTTCGTGGCCAGAGCAGAGTGATGGGGTGGGGGACAGGGGCACAGTGGTGTCAGCTTGAGTGGATGGCATAGAGTGGAGGTATCTATGGGCTAGGGTACTTGGCAGTTGAACCCCATGGATGTGTATAGTGAATCGAGTTGAGCCGCAGTCTGGGATGTGTGTAGAGGGGATTGCAGCTCAGGGGCTGTGTGAGCCCCAGGGGCTACCGTGGATCCTGGGTGTGGTTGGACATGGAGGGGAATGCAGATGGGGGTGGGGAGGAGCCATGTAGGGAGGAGACAAGAAGGAAGTTCAGTGGGCTAGCAACCGTGGCTGGGCAGTGGGGTCTGGAGCCCACCCTACCGACTCACAGGAGCCTCTGGGCATACCTCTTCGGAGTTCCAAGCCCAGCGACATTCTGTTCACAGCTTGTTAGCTTGAAATCAGCCATGGGGAGGGTATGAATACTGTGGAGTGGCAAATGCCACCAATCAGGGCCTTTTCTCCCCTGGAGAGTTGGTGTTCTATATTTACCAGCACCTTACTGGGACCAGAACCTCTTTCGTGCCTCCCTAGTGTTAGAGGTGAGGGTATGGGTGCAGGCTTTATTCTGTGCAATTAGCTCAGACACTGCCCAGACTGGAGCCTGTGTCTGAGGAGCTGGGAGAGAGAGAAGCAGGGGAAAGGGTCGAGGGGCTGGCACCAGATCTGACAGCTGCAAAAGTTGTTACCTGAGGGGGTGCTAATGAAGGCTGATGAAAGTAGCCATCAGCAGCCCTACTTTTTTTAGCCTTTTGACCAATCGCCTGGCTCTGGGTGTGGCATGTGGGCACTGTCACCCTGTGCTGGGTAGTGAAAATGGATACAGACCTGTTGAAAAACAAATTGGCACCAGGCACCCTGAACTTACAACACGAATACCTTCTGACCCAGTAATTCTCCTTCTGGGAATCTGTCCTAAGAAATTAATCCTAAACACATTCTCATTTTTTTCAAACCTACAGTTCAAAAAAACAGCTTTATTTATATTAGCAAAATTGGAAATTAATTTGAAATTCATCTGAATGTCTCATTGTAACAAAATGGTTAAGTAATCTATGGCATATAGATTACTTAGTAGATTATTATGCAGTGATTTAAAAGGATGTGAAGAACGTGTATGAAAAATGTGGAAATGCTTATGACAAGTGGAATACAAAATTGTAGAGTAGCGGTTTTCCAGAGTGTGTTTTTTGGAATCCTACTCCTGTGTCAAATATATTTGGGAAATGCTTGGTATCATATGCCCCACTCAGGACTTCCTGATGCACATCAACAGAGAAGGTTCTGAGAAGTTCTGTGGTTTGACCTACTGCTTCTGAACTTATTTCACCCCGTAGTCCTTAATCCAACCAACATCTACGATCATCCCTGAGCATGAGAGTTCTGCAGAATGGAGTTTTGGGAAATGACATGTTGAACGGTTATAATGGCATTAAAATTTCCATCAGAATACAGAGAAAAGACTGGAAGAAAAAAATAACAAAATGTAAGTAGGGGCCACGGGTAGTAGTGAATGGGACAGATTTTTAAAAAATCTTTTGTGTGTACATTTGCCAAAAATTCTTTAGTATGCATATATTATTCTATTAAAAAATCTTATAAAGGCCTCTCTCTAAGCAAGACTGTGTCTTTCTACAGTTTTTAACTGCACATTGAGCATTTGTGCTTTCTGCCTGGTGAATAAAATATCCATATAAGCCAGTAGGATATCTGATAAATAAAGAGGCCTACGGCTGGTATTTATGATAGCATAATGACAATCTCAGGGTGTGAATGCGGGTTTGAGATCAACCTCGTTCATCACAATGAAAAAGCAACAGTCTTTAAACAACTAGCAAACATCTACCTAGTAGCTGAAGGTGTGCCTTGCTGGATTCAGAGCATCTGACCCATATTACTTAATCTTCATGGCGACCCCACATGGTAGGTACTACTATTGTCTGCATTCTACAGATAAGTAAACTAAGCCACAGAGAGGTTGGGTAACTTACCTGTGACTCCAAACCTTCTGTCTCCAGAGACCAGATTCTTCCTCAATACCCAGAGCTGTCTCCTGCGAGGGACCACTGAAGACGGACAGGATCTCACTGCTGCTGATTTAACTTAGGCACGAAACCATTCCTGCTGGTGAAAGGGCTGAGGCCCTGTTCCGTTGGGTTGGAAAGTGGGACTCACATAGGCCCTTCCCTTCCTCTGGGTATATTCTCAACTATCTTAGGGTGGGGAAGGTGTAGACACGAGAAAGGGTATTTTGGCCATCAGGTGTCTGAGGAGTGTGGTGGATACAAGTTGCCGTCTACAATCCAGTGACGTCCTGGATGTGAGAGATGGAGGGAGATAAGGCAAGGAAACAGGAGAAAAGAAACCTGTTCCACACAGGTTTAAAAGCCAGCGATCCCAAGGACATGACTGTGGGGTTGGTGAGTCTTTGATGGAGTTAAAGCCCATCACTGGCTCTTTCCCCCTCCGAAGAATGGGGAGGACAGGCTGGGCACTGTGTCTGTCAGAAAGAGCCTCTCATTGGCTTGGAGCCTATTGTTAAGTCAGCTCAGTGCCACTCACCTGCTTCGTCCTAGATTTTCCACTCTGGACTCCAGAATTCAAGGCCCTACTCTCTTCCCCTTGATATCCTGGCTCTTTTCCCATTTCCCTTCAGCTGGTCAGCCCCAAACGGCATGAAGGCCCAGTGGGGGCCAACTCCAGGTTCTCATAGGATGGTTGCTAGCTGGTCCTGTGTTGTTCTATCAAATATTGTCTCATTCTACATTCACACTTAATGTTCTCAACTGATTGGTAACACACAGCAGGCACGATCCCACCACCCAGCAAAGCACTAGACTTGCCTGCTGATTCGCACTTGCCTGTTATGCACTCTGCATCTGCTATTCTCTTCTTAGTAGCTTTTATTCTTTCCCACACTTTCCACTTTTTTATTCTTACCTATTTATTTATTATAAAGATTTTATTTATGTATTGGTCAGAGACAGAGAGAGCACAAGCGGGGGAGCGGCCAGCAAAGGGAGAAGCAGGCTCCCCGCTGAGCAAGGAGACCGATGTGGGGCTCAATCCCAGGACCCCGGGATCATGACCTGAGCTGAAGGCAGACGCTTAACTGACTGAGCCACCCAGGCGCCCCTTACCTATATATTTAATGGTATCACTTCCCTCTCTTCTAATAGGTTTAAAACTTTACACTGATTACCACTGAACTTCATTGGGTTTGCTTTGGACCAAGTACCCAGTTTGTCAAATCAACCTTTGTATTAACTTAAAATTGTGTTCCCTATTTACAGCTCCTGGGCCATTGATCAGTGTTGCTTTCACAGAAGGGTCTTTCTTAGAGCAAAATTTCTCTGCAAGCAATGCATTCTCTGAATTGTTGGTGACTGGATTGACAAGAAAAATGGAGCCAATATTGTGGTAAAGCAGCATCAGAAACATCCTCCAGGTCCTCGTGATACAATGCACTTCAAGAATAATGAGGGTGTCAACTCCCCAGTCCACCACCCTAGAGAGAAGAAAGCTTGTTGAGATTGGAGAGATACCATTGGGTGGCATGGCTTCTGCATGTGAAAGCACTTTGGTGAGGAGTCTCGCCCATTCCTTGAAGACAGGAGTCATAATTTTGGGGTCTGGCCTGGTTGTTGCTTATTATTGTCATCCTGATTTTTAAAAACAATATTGTTGAGGAAAGAGTCTGAAGACCAATTATTGTTGTTTTGGTCACTAAAAAAAAAAAAAAAAATTACATGTCAGTCATTCCTTAGTCCCTCAGTGGCTCTCCCAGCTATGTAATAGTATAACAGAACTATCCTGGACAATCCCATAGGGACAGTGAGAAGATAAAATAGGACAAAATACTAATACTAATAATAGCAACAAAAGCCAATAGTCACGAGTGCTTGCCCTGTGCAGGGCCCCATGTGCTGTGTTTTCAGTGCTCTGTAGTAGACCCAGAGTGACCATGTCTATGAAATAATGTGAGTTACCATGTATTCTATCTCTTACTCTCTCACTCCTTTTCCTTACCAAGTCCTCTGGATTCTCTTTTCAGTATTCTTCCTTCCAGTTCCTGCTGTCCCATCTGAGAGAAGCCCCCATCTCCACTCACTGCTGCAACGGTTCGCTGGCCCCTGCCTCTCCCTGTCTCCCCCTCCTGCAGGTGCTCCCACACTGACCAGCTAACAAAGTCACGTCCATTAAACCACCCCCACCACTTCCCAGTTACAATTCTTCCATGTTGCCCTATTAGCTGCTCTGGTATTTGGGACTCTCTGTATTGACTCCAAATGACCTTTCCTGTCTCCTACTCCTCCTCTCCAGGGCTGCCTCACCTAGTTTGCTGGATTCCCTTACTGTCCTAGACCACTCTGTGTGTTCCTCCCGCCTGTGCTCCCCCTTCTCCACCTGCACGTGCTCACCTCTACACATCCTTCGAGTCCAGCCCAAGCTCTTGTTCCCACACTATGACTTCCCCGAACATGCCTGCCATCTCTTCTTCCACGGATGCGCGCACCAGCCAGCGCTCCGTTTCCCATCTTTGGTGTTGTTGTTTTGGGTTGTTATTTAATTCCTCTCCTTTTTTGAACATGTGGGCATCTATATTCCTCCCTCAACTAGATTATAAATTCCTTGATGATAGGAGTCATGGGGAGATATATATGTATATATTTTTTTACATATATATATGTAGAATTCCTCACAGTATCTAGTCTGTGGTAGACCATAGTAGCCCATTCAATAATGCTTTGACCAATGAAGGAATGCCGATATATAAATGTAGTGCCAAGCTCCAGAGGTATTAGTTTCCTTCTCAGATTTATTAAAAAAAAGAAGAATCTTCCGTATAAAGTGATGGGAGAGAAAGCGGGTAAATGAGGCACGTGGGTGCGAGAGACAGGAAAGTGGCCTGGAACAGAGTCTTGAACAGAAGCTTGGATAAAACCCAGGGCTTTGGTGCTCTATCTAAGATGTTCTGGGGCTTTGCTTAAATAACCCAGAGTCTGGACTCCCCAGAGAGTTGGAAGAGCTAGCCAGTAGCAAGGTAGCAAAGAAATTGCGCAGTGCTCATTACAGTAGGGAACAAGAATAACGATTATGATAATAATGATGATGGCGATGGAGATGCTGATGATTGGGCAGTAGCCCCAGCAAAGCTTCCACCACGGGAGGAGGAATCAGTTTCCTTCTTCTCGTGGAGAGAGAGGTGTGTGGCCACCGAGGTGGCGCGGGGCCCCGGGCTCCCTGGGCCGAAGGGGCAGGGAGGGCCGGGTCAGGGAGGCTGGCCAACAGGCTTCAGGCTGGATGAGGGGAGGGAAGTCATTTCCAGTCTCTTTGGTCTTGACTGAAAACAAAGTGAGAGTCCCTGAGTTCTCCTATAAACGGTAATGATAACACAATTATCATGCAAAACAAAAATTAAGTTTAATGGTGCAAAGCCAGGGTGTACTGGGGAGGTAATTCATATTAATTATGTTTGGATTAAAAGCTTATTTCTTTTGTTAGCATCCGCAAGTAGAAACTTAGCTGTTAGAAAAAAATCCGCATATAATTACGGTCTCTTATGGAGGAGCAGTGTTGGACTTAATGGAGCATCCCTGCTCTCTTCAAGCTCCCGGAGAATGGTAATATTTCACATTTTATGAAACACAGAAGAAATAAATTACAGGTTTAATGATAAGAACTACTTGGACTCATAATGAAATCTGATTGGCCAGTTAATCCACCGAGACTCTCAGATGCGAACCATCCAAAAGGGGTAAAAATGATGAAAAATGAAATTAAATGGAAAACCCTTCACCCGCAGCCTCTTTTGTGAAGGCTGGGGAAGCGCTGAGCAGCAGGAGAGGAACCCCGGGGCGGAGGAGAAAATTCGCTTTCTGGGGTTGGGGGGGAAGAGAGCAGAACAAGGAAGGGGTTTCCCTCCTGCCCTCCCCAGATTTCCTGTGGGAATGAAGCCTGGAGATTTTGTGGGAATAAAGGGAAGGGGACTGGAGGAGGAAGGGAGGAAGGCGGGTTTCCCTGGTGAGAAAGCTGTGCAGACCCCCAGCAGGGCCTGGCCTCCAGTGGGAAATGCCAAGTCTGCATGAAGGGTAACTGGAGTTGGGCTGAGTTGATCCTATTTTCCACCAACAAAGAAATATTTTGCTAGGGGAGGAAGGTGAAGGTGTCCTCTGTTTCTAAGTGCAGGGGGCACTTCTGGGCCTGAGGCATGTTCCCCTGAGGGACTCCAGTCCTCCCTGTAGGCCCAGCTGGGCCCCTGTGTGCCTCTTCTGCCTCTGCCTTTGTTGTTGGCAGTCTCTTCGGCACCTTGGGGGTGAGCCCGCCTCTGTTTGGTGAGAGCTGTGACGACTGTCCATTTCTTTCTTTCTTTCGTTTTTTAATTTTTAAAAATTTTTTAAATTTTTTCTTTTTTTAAAGATTTTATTCGAGAGAGAGAGACTGCACAAGTTGGAGCGGGGAGAGGCAGAGGGAGAAGCAGACTCTCCACTGAGTGGGGATCCCGATACTGGGACTCAATCCCAGGAACCTGGGATCATGACTTGAGCTGAAGGCAGGCACTTAACTGATTGAGCCACCCAGGCTCCCCAGGACTGCCCCTTTCACTTTGAGAGACAGCAGGGCACAGCAGAAAGAATTTGGGCTTTGGAATCAGACAGGCCTGGGTTTCAATTCTTGCTCTGCCAATTATTTGTTGTGTGACCTTGGATAGGATATTTCACTTCTCAGTCTCAGGTTCCTCATCTGGAGACTGGGAGTGTTGTGAAGTTTCAATACGAATGAGAATTATATATGTGTAGGGCTTGAGACGTGCTAGGTGTTCAGAAAATAACCATGGCCACTCCCACTATTACTGTTGTAAATATGAGAAAACCTTCTTGTCTGGGGTGAGGCCTGCAAATCAGCACATGCCCACAAACCCGTAGGATAATCAGAGAAATAACTTTATAAGAACTTAAATGATTGTCCCAAGTGCTCTGAATCCTCGGATCACCAACAGTACCATCTCCCAGCCACGGTATGGTCTTCCTAGATTCCATACATGTAGGAAGTCCTTGAAAGACTCATTTTTAAAAAAATATTTTATTTATTTATTTAAAGAGAGTGGGGAAGGCAGGGGCAGAGGGAGAAGCAGGCTTCGCGCTGAGCAGGGAGCCTGATGGGGGGCTCGATCCCAGGACCCTGCGATCACGACTTGAGCCGAAATCAAGAGTCGGACGCTTAACCGACCGAGCCACCCAGGTGCCCCGAGTCTCGGTTTTGATATCAGGAACTATATGGCACTGTATGATTTAATGGAACCATGTGGGAACTGGAGCTAAATAAGACTTCTTCCATCCTCAGCTCTCCAGTTGTGAACCATCCATACCACCAAGCTCACCGCTGATGATGAAGTCCATGGGTATGGATGGGGGTGACTGTGCAAGGAGAGGGGAGTACTCATGGCGCTAGGTCCCCCTGGTCTTTGCCATCTGGTCATAATGCAGAGACCATGCACAGGGCCAAGGTGGCTGCAGTAAATTCCGAGGACTAGAAGCCATGGTTCCATCAGGGTGTCGGGCAGGGCATACTGGGTAGGAAGTGAGGGTGTGGAATAGAAACTTTGCTGGGGAAAGCAGAAAAGTGAATTCCTAGAGCGCCATATTATTGGACAAGGCAGGTCCCAGCCCAAAATGTGGCTGTTGCACTGTGACACAGCACTGAGCTCCAGGAGTCTCTGAGAGGCTCTGAAGGGCCCTGTGGATTTCTGGAAAGTTCTTGTAGGGCCCCAGTCTCAGGCCCTCCCTGGTGCTGCCTTGTTCCAAGTCTCCCCTGGCTTGGTGGTCTGGGCACAACCCCTCTTAATGGTAGATGCCCAAGCTGGATCTTGGGGATCACCTGATCCTGCCCCTTCATTGAACAAATAGGGAAGCAGACATAACCCATGAACAGTGCTTAGAGCAGGGCCTGCCACATATAGATAATAAATGATAGCTGTCACTTTCCCTTAAGTGACTTGCTCAAGGTTCTTTAGTGCCCAGGCTGGAAATACCATTTGCCCCAGTGTTTGGTTATGTTTTTTTTCTTTTAAGACTTTATTTTTTAAAAGCAGTGTTAGTTTCATAGCCAAGTTGAGAGACAGGCACTAATATTTTTCATATACCCCCTGTCCCCATACAGGCATAGCTTCCCCCATCATCAACAACCCCCACCAGCGTGGTACATTTGTTACAATTGATGAACTTGCATGTGCACATCATCACACAAAGATTCACATTAGGGTTCACTCTTGGCATTGTAAATTCTATGCATTTAGACAAATGTGTAAGGATATGTTTCAATTATCATAGTATCACACAGAATATTTTTACTGCCCTAAAAATCCTTTCTCCAATCATGGCAACCACTGATTTTTTACTGTCTCCATAGTTTGCCTTTTCCAGAATGTCACATAGTTGGAATCATATAGTATATAACCTTTTGAGATTGGCTTCTTCCACTTAGTAATATGCATTTAAAATTCCTCCATGTCTTTTCATTGCTTGGTAGCTCATTCCTTTTCATGCTGAATTGTATTCCATTGTCCAGATGTACCAGTGTTTATTTATCCATTCACCTACTGAAGGACATCTTGGCTGCTTCCAGGTTTTGGAGATTACATATAAAACTGCCACAAACACTTGTGTGTAGGTTTTTATTTGGAA